AAAGGAAACAGAGAGAGGAGGGATGGCCCCTGCTTACCCACCGCCTCAGCCCATGCGATTTTCCTTCACCCACTGATCCCACGGTGTGGGCTCACATCTTTACCCAGATTGTGCCCAGCCTTGCTGCTTGGCTGGGTTGGTCACGGAAAAGCTCAGAGCTGAGTTTCTCTTCATTCTCTCGGGGATACAAAGTTCTTCCTATGGGATAGTGCTTGGCCTTGTTCAAGAGGATGCCAGAGTCACAGTGGTGATGGGGGAATTACCTGGAGTCCACAGTCCCCTCCTCCCTTCCATCCTAGCTCAGGAGGGAGGTGGTTAGCTTTTGTCTGCATCTCTAGAAATGTCCTGGTCATAAATATGTTATGCCAGATGTGAGATGTCTGGTATTGGCCTAAATCCATTTTGAAGACACATTCCAGAGCCCAATGCAAGACCCTTTTCATTCCCACTCTACAGGGGCCAGCAGAAGCCTTGGACAGGTCCGGGCCTCACCCCAGGGCACAACTCCTCAGTGCTAGGGGAGAATGAAATTGCTTGGTTGCCAAGTGCACATGGAGTGTTGCAAGATCCATGGGATGTGATAAGTTTCTACCTTGACTGTGAGTTCTAGTGCCAGGTAATAGGTGCTGTGCCTCGGTATCACCAGGGTGCTTTCAGGACCAGGGACAGATCAGGATGGGAAGGAGATATTTGCTTCATGAGAAAACGAGAAGGGACTGCAAACTCCAAGACCCTGGGAGTGAGTGTTTATTATAACGAAGTTGTCTTCAGTTGCTGGGAAAATGTATCAATGGATAAAAACTGAAATCAAGGAAAGGTTAATGAGCAAGTATTTTGTGCCTCATAAGGAAATCAAGAGCTGTAATTTGGGGGGTTCACCAGGACAGACGGAACAGTGGACATGGAGGAGTGGCCAGGGAAGGAGAAGTCCCTATATCTGCAGGACAGGAGCTCCCAGAGCAAAGGGCAGAGAGGTGGGATATATTTGACTACAGAATGGGATGGCATGTGTGACCGTGAGATGGGGGCCAGGGCGATGGGAAGAGGCAAAGTGCCTGAATCTGTGTCAGAAAATTAGGCACCATCTCCAAGAGTCAGATCCGAAACCAGGAAGTCAGAAGAATTTAAACATCAGTGTCCGGGACAAGTACTCTAAGAAAAGAAGAACCTCTTTCCCTCCAGGTCTCAGGTCACGGTCACTGACCCTCCCTGCATGGCAGCATTTCCCTGATGCCCAGACCCACCCCACCCCCAGGAGTTTCTGCCAGGTTGCTCTCTGCTGCCCCCTGGTGGCCTCTCTACGCTGGCTGCTGGAGGCTCAGGGGCCTCCTGGGTCCAGGTGTAGATTCAGAATCTGCTGCTCAGTTCCCTGATTGCTTCCTTCATGGATTGCTGACCTCAGGGAAGAAATTCCTTTTCTCTATGTGGCCCGTTCCTGCCTCAGGACCTGGCACAAGGGGCTCAGATTCCTGATGGAAATACAAACACTCACATGTGGAGGAGGAGGTGACAGGGCCCTCCTGAGGCTCCCTGCACGTGTCACTGGGTGGGGGGTGGTCCTGAAGGGGGACTGGGGCTTGGTACTGAGGGATACAGGACTGAGGTGTGGCTCTGACTGGGTCTGGATGCAAATATAGGGCCAATGTGGGTTGATGGTGACTCCTGCAATACAAGTGAGACAGAAGCTCATTCACTCAACAAATATTCCCCTGACCCACTCTGTCCTGGCAAGACTACATTTTAGGAATTCAGCATGAGGAATACACAGTCCTTGCTCTGAGGACTTTCCTGTCCTGTTGCTGGGTCAGTGCAGTAGGCACACTGGGTTTACAGACCCAGCAGATACTCCCTACACCATCTACCTGTGTGTCATCCCTTCTATTCAATTGAAAGTCAGGCAAATTTCCAGTGTCTCCCAGCCAGGAGTGACCATGTATGTAGCCACCATTGATCCATGTGATGTAAGAGTCAGATGACTTAGGTTGCCCTCAGGAAACTTTTCCTCTCATGAAGGAAGGACTAATTTGGATTTGAACTTTGCTTTATCTCTTGAACATGGGTGTGATAACTGGAGCTGCAGCAGCCACGCTGAGGCCTTATATCAACAACAGTGAAAGCAAAGTCAACATTGCACTGAAAGGGAATGGAGAGTTACAAATATTTGAGCTTCCTATGGAACTGGTGAGCATCTGGAATCACCAAGCACATGCAGACTTATTTTTGTGGGAGAAAATTGGAGGCCCCCTGGTTCCTGCCATACGTGTACTTGTAGTGAAAAAGCATTTCTGACTGCTAATTCAACAATTAATAGAAGTAAATCAATCAAAAATAATGAAATAGAAGATAACCATGGAATTGTATGCAGATAATCATGGAAAGTTCCGACAGAAGCTGACTGGCGGCTGCTGTAGATTCAGTGTTTGGAGAAGGCCTCCCTGAAGAACAGTCTGCGGAGCTCCTTTGAGGAGGGAGTGAAGACACGAGTGATGGAAGCATGTGCGGGGAGTTGTGTCTGTGGCCTGCGGGGAAGGGTCTCGGGTGTGTGAGGATCTGAAAGGGCAGTGGGAGGCCTGAAGGGTATCTGGGATGTAAACCAGTTCAGGTCAGATGTGACATTTGCTCACAAGTGAAGGATTTGGGGACAGGCATGATGTGTAGTGTGTGAAATTCACAGGTAATAAATTAGGTGATCTGGGGCAGCATAGCAACAAAATCACTCTTGACTTCCAGGAAGATGCTACTGTGTAGGGACAGGTGTGGCTTCCGTGGGTCTAGACCAGGTCCCAGCACTTCCCTAGTTCACCTGGCCCTATGGACACTCAGGGACTGGTTTCTTGTCCCTCCCCTCTACCCAATGCCCACCATGTAGCCCTGTGGGGACTCACCCTGCTGCCTGTGTGTCTGGTCCTTAGCCAGCTTTCTGGGACCCAATGTGGGTGACCCAGCCCTGCTTTCCCTGAAGTTCTAGAGATTTGCTGACCCAGGGGCAGAGAATTCAGGGAGTGCACTTGACAAGGAGAAGAAGGGCCTGTGAGAGGGAGTGACAATTCCAAGGACACTGGGGAAGGAAGAAAGAAGAGCAAGATCAGAGAAGTCTTAGACTCTTAATGATGAGCTCCTCTTAGTGGCCTGGAAGCAGCCTGGGCTTGGGGAGGGGACATCGGATAATCTTAAGTCAAATTTTGGAGGTCCTGATGCAAAGAGCTTCCCCTTGTCTGTTCTTCCAGCTGCCTGTAGGGAGTGCTGCTCTACCTGGATATGGAACCAGTCAGGGCCTGGGAGGGCAGCCAGCTCCCTGCACTCATTGGCTGATTGCAGCCCAAAGTAAAAGACTCCAGCTTTTCACCAAACATTGGCCTTTTAATGATCTTTCAACCTGACAAAATTTTTAATACAATGTTTTAGGTTTAGGAATCCCCCATAAAAACGATCTGTCTAAGTTAATGTTCTATTAGCTCAACTTATAAGTTGTAGATATATTAACACAATGGTATTTCTCAGTGCTTTTTTGAGCAGAGTATCATTTTCTTTTCTGTTTTTTTTTTTTTTCCATTTCCATGAGTTGTGGCCATAAACACAAGCCATGAGCATTGATACAGGAAGCCTCTACTTTTCCTATTCAATACATCCCACACCTGACATGCTTACCTTATGTAAGTGTCCTACAGTGAATTTTGAAAAACATGGGTTGAAGCAATAGGCAGAGAAATGTCACCTGTGCTAAGATTTTATCCAAGAGTCACACAGGGTATTACTCATGGAGCAAATAGATGATGTTCACATGCAGGCGACCCTGCACAGCTGTGACTGAGTCATTCCGGGTCAGACATGAGCTGAGCACATTTCCTTCCCATTGACAAAGGTGGCTTCTGTCCTGATCACCCCTGTGAGAAGCTCCCTCTCTACTCCTGGCTCTTCATGCTGGGAAGAAGCTCTTCATGTTGGGAATGCGGAGCTCGGGCTGTCACGGGAGAATGAGGAGACCTTATTTGTGGGCTTTGAACTTCTTGGAATTACAGGTTTTTGTTTTTCTCTGAAAGCACAATTATCAGGGAGCAGAATTTCAGAGCAAGGGCCCCTTACCTGCCCCAGTTTGTACTGAAAAGACTTTTCTAGTGCACATCACCTAGGAGGTCTCCAGGAGCCAGAGACTGGCTGAGTCAGTCCTCACTGAGGCCCAAGCAGCAGAGGAATGTGTGATGATTCCCTCTTGTATTGTGGTTTATTCAAAGATTGAGTTTTCTTTGAAATCCCAAAATCCTGTCACTTGAAATTCGGAGCCTTGCAGAGATGTGTTCACTGCTTCAAGTGGTGGAAAAGTCTCCAGTTGGATGAGTTCCTGCAATTGTCTGCACTTTCAAAAGTCTCTAATTTAGAGTTCAGGCATGTTTGTAGAGCAAAAGCTCCAATAAAGTAGGTGTAGAAGAGTGTGTTAGATAAGCAAGAGAGATGGTGAGAGAGACCATGAAAGCTTCCCAATCCCCTTCACCTCTAACATACGTGGTTCACATCTCCCAGGAACATACAGCATGGACAGCAGAGACTGAGGGCTGGAAATTCCGTGTTTAGAGCTACAGGTTTCTTCATCTTCCTATTCCACTAGAAGATCTAATCACCTTATGCACATCAGAGATAAGGTGTCCTCAGCTACCATCTCTCCCTCTATGTGACTCAGTGTTCAACAGCTATGAATGACCATTTTCTTAAGAATCAAATTCGCATGTAAACTTAGCAGTGGACACGGTCCTCCCAAGCACAGAGATCAGAGTCAGCAGCACAGAATCTGCCCTGTGGGCACAGTGTGCATGGCTCCAATGCACACCAAGCATAGCCCTACTGCGTGGGAACAGTCCTGCTGCCCACAGTGAATACTGTCATCTTGGGAGCTACTTTTTACAAAATTCTTCACAAGTCTTGTCTAAGAATCCTGGTTTAGAAATGCTGGCTGGAGACAGCTGACACTCAAATATGAGCATGAGAAATTTGAGTATTCTTCCTGGCAACAAATTAGCAGATTCAATAGACATTCCTGCAACACTGTACATGTGTGACCTTGGACCAGACAGGAGATCATTGTTAATAAGAGAGAGAGAGAGAGAGAGAGAAAGTTGAGTTGTAGCATATAGAGCAGAGAAAATGGTGCTTAGTACAAAATTCTTTCCATTTTTAACAGTTGCATAATTCAAAATTAAACTAGCATTACTTTGCTTCTTGTGTATGCAGTATTTTTATTATGGTAAAATAAACATAACAAAACGTTTCGTCCTTTTCATCATTTTTAAGTGTGTAATTAAGTGGCAGTAAGTACAGTAAAAATGTTGTGCAGTCATCACCACTATCCAACCCCAGAGCTTTTTCATCAGTGCACTCAGAACGTCTGTATCTACTAGACAGCTACTTTAGAAACTTTGGAAATTGTAGACAAAATGATGAGTGTGATAAAAAGAAAATACCAAGTATAAACTAAAGACCATGTTTGCACGTCAACTCCAGCTTCTGTGAAATCTCAGTACAGTAGGGGCTATGCCTCATCCAGGAACCCAGATGAGACACAGCCCCTGGGGCCTTTTCTGGGAAGTTTCTTCCGAAGGAGCAGAGGAATTTCAACAGGACTGTGCCCTCTGAAACAGCTCTCTCTTCTCCTGTAGTACGTGTGATTACTTCTGGTGTTTCAGTTTACCGGACTGATCTCTACAATAGTTGAAGGATCCTGGAAGATGAATTTGGATTTGTACAGATCCAGACAGGTAATAGTGGCATTTACAGTATCTGTGCCAGATGGGGATCTCCTGGAACAGAATGCTATGGCTGCAGGTGCACAGTTACATCATTGAAGCAGATACTGAGGTCTTGTCTATTGCCCTCAGAGACTAGGATCAGAATCAGTGCACATTCATGTGGGATGGACAACAGTATACATTCACACTTTTTCTGCCACGCATCATTAGCTCTCCCTTCCCTATCATTATATCATTATGGGAGTTCAGACCATCTGGACATCATAGTTCAATCACATGTACATGATGGGCACGGCCTATTGGGAGCTTTTGTGAGATCCATGTACTTTTGAGAGTGGGAAATAAACTAAGATGTTTCCTCTTTCATACTAACTGAAATTGAGAGTTTAGTTGTCTGGAGCAGCTGAGACTCTCCTACAACATAAACAACATGTTATTATAGCCTTCAATTCCTCCCAGGAAGAAAGAGACACAAGGTCTCTAAAGGTCTAGGAGTAGTATATTTTACACTTGGGGATGTGACTCCGACCCATATATGAGGAGCCATAAATATCACCCATTGTTTTCCAGGCCCAGAGCACTGAGGCTCTGCAGCAGGTGCAGGCAGGGTTGTGAGTGTCCTGCTGTTGGGGCCAGAGAATCCAGCTGACTCCACCGTGGGAACTGAAACCTCCTGCACATGGCAAACCCCATTGGAGAATCCCAATGTAGACTCCTGGGGTTTTGGAAGAAGGCCATGTCATGTGCAGTAGAGCATTACTTCCCTTTGGAAAAACAGCTCCTCTTGTCTTACTGGGCCCTGGGAGAGACAGGATAACACTGGACATCAAGCGACCATGTTGCCAGAACTGCCAGATCCCCCCAGCTGTGAGCTCAGGCAGGCCAGCAGTGGTCTCTGGTGAGATGGATGTGACACATCTGGGACAGAGCAGGGTCAGGGCTCCAGGACTCAGTCACCTGCATAAACAGCTGGTCTACATACGTGTTCTCATTTCTCTTCCACCAGTGCCTCTCCCTGGCTTCACACATATGTCTTACGGGGGGAGATGAGGCTGAAGCAGGTTACTCCAAAGCACCGTCAGCTGAAGGGGTAAGACCAGACCAGCATTGTACAATCACAACATGATGTGAGCCTCATGTGAATCCTACTGTCTCGTCACCATATTAGACATAAAAAATAAAAAGATAAACCAGTTTCAATAATATACTTTATTTAACCCAAAGTATGAAAAATAATATTTATACATGTACACAATCTAAAATTATTTATGAGATTTTTATAGATGTTTTCATAGCTACTGTTATTATTTTATTTTGGGGAGATTCTTTATGTTGAGATTGTGTGGTTGATGGAGGCTTGAAGGAGTCGGATTGCCAAGGGTGAGCTGTGCTGGCTTCGTAAGTGCCAACTTTGATAAGCTGAAGAGGGGGTGAAAGAGTGATTGTGCAGGATGTGCAGGGTGGAGGTGGGCAGTATCCATCCTACAGCTGCCCCTGTGGGAGCATCTCTGGTCCCTGCATGGTGTGAGGTTGCTCCCTTTTCTGTGGATTCCTTGCAGGAAGATATGATTCCTCTTCTCCTTCAGGACTCATAGTAGCTGGCATTTCAGGCTCCCTTTTCATTTTATAAGAATAGAAGAAACACTCAGAAATAGTTGGGCATTTGGATGCTCACAGTGGAAATTTAGGAAGTTCACTGGTGCATTCTAGTGTATAGTGGCCATCTCAGGTCCATGGTGGTTCATTTTGGTGAGAGCTGACCATCTTAGTTTGGGTTCCCTGGAAGTAGACTCTGAGGTAAAGATTTCCATGCACAGAGAATCTGGAAGGAGTGAGGGAGGCATCACCCGCAGAAGGAGAACCTGACCCACAATAGGATTGCAACTGAGGCCTCAGGATCCACGATGGGAAGTCTGGAGCTGGAAGGCCTTTCAGTGTCAACTTGTATTAAGGCAGGGCCTTGGGTTCTTGGCCTTACGCAGTCATCAAACCAAAACACTCAAAATTGAACCTAAATATGAGAAAGGAAGTTTTCTGGAAACAATAGCACTTTCCTGTGAGGGTACAGCTCTGAGCTTCTAGAAGGTCCCAGCAGATGAGTGCGGGTGAGCTCACAAAAGGGTATCGAGGCAGATGCCGCAGTGTCCCCTCATCTGCCTTTGCTGTTCAAAATCCCAGGCTGCCATGGAAGCCTGGAACCTCAGGTGTTGAGCTGAGCTGGGCATTTTGGGGGCCTGATGTATGATATTTGGAAGGAATGACCCAATCATCATCGTATGGAAACTTAAGGCCAAGTGATGTTTCTCTGCATCTCTCTCATCTTCCATCTCATTCTTATTTCCCCAAGTCACTACAGAGGCCCCAAATCACCAGTAAATTCTGATTATAGCAGCACTAAACCCATTCCTGCAGAGTCAACATGTAGGGCTAGACAAAAGGATGGCCTGGAGGTCTCAGATCTAGTAGAACTTGGCCAGACCTGCTCATGGCTTGGTCCACAGTCTTCCTGGTCCTGGAGGAAGAAGATGACACATATGAAAAATGGATTTGTGTCTCACCTCCCCATCTGCCTGTGTCACTGTGGGATTGTTCTCATCCCCGGAAAAACAGTAATAGTCAGCCGTGTCTTTGTTCAGGACCCTGGTGATGGTCAGGGCGATCGTGTCCCTGAGGTGGACCCAGAGAATGGCTCAGGGAATCCCGGAGGTCGCTCACCATCTTTATATATCAGCAGCACAGGGGCCTGACCTGGCTTCTCCTGGTACCAGTCAGCATAATTATCCCTCAGTACATCTCCAGAGCAGGTGATCCTGGCTGTCTGTCCTGGGGACACTGACACCAAGGGTGGCTGTGTCAGCTCATAGGAGGCCACAGAGCCTGCAGAAGAGGACAGGGGAGGGGCTTGAGGATAACAAACACGTTTCCAGTGGTGTCACCCTGAGGCTGTGCCTAGGCTGTGCTCAGGGTTCAGGGCAGGACCAGCTCAGGAGCCTGCAAGGGCTGAGCCTAGGGCAGGGCTTGGGGGCAGCACCTTTGCAGAGGTTGAGGAGGGAGAGCCAGAGAGGGGTCCAGGCCATGGTAAGACACCCAGAGCTCGACCTCCTGAGCCCAAAGCACATGGGAACTCCCCAGGCTTCACTTATTTCCTCTCAGGCCCGGTGGGGCATTGCATGTTTGGTGTTTATGCAAATTTACTTCTCTGGGACTCCTCATGGTGGGATGTCACTCAACCCAGATCTGGGGGACACAATTCAGCCAAGAACTCTCTACCCTACAGACCCCAAGACTCATGTCTTTTTACTTGTAAAAGGCGTTCATCCCATCCCAGCCACCTAAATCCTGATCCAAACTCTAAGACCAAACTCTCATTTGCATATCATCTAACTCAAGTGTGGGTGATTCTACAGGTCTGATTCATCTTGAGGGTTTAAAGGATAACAGCTTTGGGGGGGTTTTACCTCCTCTCTCCTGTTGTCAGCTGAGTGTTCAGGAAAGTCAAATTTCCCACTTTATTTGCTAAGATTAGAAGAGAAGAGCCAGTCAGCATCAGCAACATCTGTGAGGTACATGTCTGGAAACCACAACTGTCTACTCTTGAAATAATGTACATAAGTTAAATACCCATTAATTGAATTTATTAATCAGTAGCCATGGGATATCTTTGTCAGTGTTTAGAAAAAAAAAACAGAATTGATACAGGACATAGAACAAAAAGTACATTAAGTTAAATTGTACTAAGAGAAGAGTATGTCCTTGTTAAGAAAGACAACTCACAGACATAAACAGTCTAAAGAAAATTCATCTCATATGCAAATTAAAGTACTATTTTCGATGTTAACATTAAGTATCTACATTTTGATATGCAAATAGAGACTCTCTAATGGTTATACAAAGTGCATTATTTTTTCTGTTTGATATGACATTTTGTTTAGGTTCCCTTGTGGAGTGAGGGTGATCTTGACTGTAGGAAAGAAGGATGTTCCATGGAATGTTTCCTTACACACACACACACACACACACACACACATATGTATATGAGAGGATAATTTGCAACATAAACATATTTCTGCCAAAAAGGTTCTGTTCTTTCTCTGGCAACTTGCCTTGGGGTCTTTATCATTTAACATCTCAAGCTCTCTTCCTTATCCCGTTGTTACATTATGTTCTAGAATTTTCATGGATTATAAAAATATTCAATACATGTAAAACTTAAACTGTTTGTTTATTTGTCATTCTCAGAACTTCCATGTTCTCTTCTGTTTTTGGCTTCAGTCAAATGTTGATATTAGGACCCTTCTCTCTGAGTCTGCCTTGGATATTCCAGCTTTGGTACAAGTTTTCTGGCCCACGTGCCCCTCCCACTCCCTCAGATTTTGCCTTAGGAGAAGTCTATTCCTGATAAATTAAAGCTCTCCCAAAACTCAGAGCAAGCAATGCAGAAAAATGTTATGTGATTGTGACCCAGGGCTGTCTTAAACTCATGATCCAATCAAATAGATGATATGAGCATGTTCTTATCCAATGAAAGACCTCAGCATAATACAGGTGAAATACAGTGACCCTCACAGAGAGATCCCCACCTAGATCATATGCTGGTGGAATTTTCAACCTTCAGATAAACCTACAAACCAGGGAATGTTCAACCATATCCTGTGGCCATCCCTGACCTGACACCTGTTTTAGTATGGCCCAGAGCTGACAGTGGTTTTTATCGTGTTAAATGGTTACATTGTAAATGATGCTATAGGTATCTATGGAATATCCCCAAAGTTGATCTTTGGGCAACAAAGACTAAAATAATTCTTTTTAAAATTTATTTTTATTTTTTTTAATGTAATAGAGATGAGGGTTCACTGTGTAGCCCAGACTAATCTCAAATTCCTGGGATCAAGCAATTCACCCGTCTTACCCCTCCAAAGTGCTCGGGATTACAGGCGTGAGCCATAGTGCCTGGCTACAAAGACTAAAATTCTTCTTATCTCGATATTTAAGAAAAAGTTTAACAAATGCAAAAAAGAAAAAGTAATGAACTATTTCTGAAAAGGCCCAATCTTAGGCAGAACAGGAGACTCAAAAATAAAACTGTAAAAAGGTAACATTTTTCAGTTTGATATGTTTGCAAAAATTTACACTTTCAACAATATACTCTGAGTAAGCACTTATGGCTGGCATTGAAAATTGGTAGATCTCTCTGGCGGTGAATCTGACAACAACCGGTGAAAATTACAAGCACACATCTTTCTGATCCGCAATTTCACTTTCAGAAATATCGTCACTTTCAGATCATATCGTCATATTCACACAGGAACGCAAAGGAGGCTGCATAGGGATGTTCGCTGCACTGTTGTTTCTAAGATCAAAGTTGTGGCGATAACCATTAGAATGTAGTTGGCTAAAATTCTACCCACGGTGTGGGAGATGGTGATGTATTTAGGGTGAAGACATCCCCAAAAAATCAGTGACTACATCAATCAGGCAGCTCCTTGTCACTGTCCCTGTATTTGAAGAGCTAGGAAGAGTTGCACATTCAGGGACCACAGCACACATGCATCAGGAAGCTGTCCCTGTCCTAAATGAGAAACCACAGGGCAGGTTTCCTTTTGGATTTCATGGTGGGAAAGGAGAGGAGCTGAGAGAGAAGAATTTTGAAGGTCATGCTGCAGAAAGCCCCTTGCACTGGGTGAGGAAGCATCTTCAGAGCAGAAAGGGAGCCTGAGAGCCCAGGATAGGTTTTGGTCTCAGTTCCCCATGAACTTGGACCACTGTGGAAAGTGCTTCCACTCCTATATGAGCAGCAGTAATAATCAGCCTCGTCCTCAGCCTGGAGCCCAGAGATGGTCAGGGAGGCCGTGTTGCCAGACTTGGAGCCAGAGAAGCGATCAGAGATCCCTGAGGGCCGCTTACTGACATCATAAATCAGGAGTCTGGGGGCTGTGCCTGGGTGCTGTTGGTACCAGGAGACACGGTCATAACCACCAATGTCACTGCTGGTTCCAGTGCAGGAGATGGTGACCGACTGTCCAGGAGACCCGGACACAGAGGGAGGCTGAGTCAGGGCAGACTGAGCCCAGGACCCTGGAAAGAGGGAGAAACACACTCCAGTGAGTCAGTGCTGGGCCCAGGTGAGCCTGAGGAGCAGGAGACCAAGGATCAGCCCAGAGGACCCAGAAGCCCCTTCCTTGGAGGTGTCACCTGTGCCCTGAGTGAGGAGGGTGAGGAGGAGCAGAGCCCGGGCCATGGTGGAGATGTCCTGAGAGCGCTGCCTCCTGAGATCCCAGCTCTGGGCCTGCCCCCAGCCCTGTGTTATCCCCTCTGCCTCAGAGGAGGGCGGGGCCTCCATGCAAATCTGCACCCTGAGCTCCTCTCCTCACCCCACCCTCACCTGGGCCTGGGCTTAGATGCTTCTGCTTCCCTGGACAGTGGGGCTCAGCTGAGGAGACTAAAGTCCTTGTTTGTCTATTTTGATGGCAGGAACTTAATTTTTTTGTACCTGATTTCCTCAGGAGAGAAAGATCTGCTGAAATCCCTTACCTGAGTGAGCTCCTGGCCCTCAGTGTCTCTGCTGTGAGGTGCCTGTGTCTCTGTGACCTTCCAGGCCTTGGCCCACCCTGCAGTGCCCTCTGCTTGGCACCCACCTCCAGGCTGTTTCTCCTGTCAGGAAATGGGGGTACCCACCTGGTGGACCCCTGTGCTGGGTATCGTTGGTCCCTGGTCTCCCCAGCTGCAGCCTCGTCCCATCCCCACCCCCACGCTTTGTGCTGAAGCATCTGCAGCATCGATTCCCTGGAGCACATCAGCCGCCCCAGGCAGTGCACCCACATCCACATGGGCACATGTGGGAGGGACCCTGTGGAGGGAACAGGAGCACCGACCAGGGCCGCAGTCCTGAGCCTGATTCCACTGCTCCCAGTGCTGCCCTTCCCTCTCATCAGCAGACGATGTGTCCTTCCCACCCTCTGGGTCTCAGCCTGAGAAATGGGGACCACAGTGTCCACACTGCAAACAGGTGATCCATGGGAATATGATCAAGCAGGACAAAGGGAAAGTTTGTTAACAGGCTTTTCTGTGTGCACCAGCGTGATATTTATGGTGAATGTTTGCTTTATTGAACTGTAATTTATGTGTTAAATCACAGAGATGTGTGTTTCCTGCTTTCTTTCTTTTCCCGTCAGACCACTTCCTCAGCACAACTTAAAGCTGACCTCTCTAAGCCTTGCGACAATGAAGACACACAGACATTCAATAAATATGTTTTTTTGTTTTTTTCCTTAAAAGGATTTTTGTATCTTTTCTTCTTTCCCCATTGCTTATGACAAAATTCTTTTAATGTTTCATATTAAATATTAATGGATTCAGGTTCCATTTAAATATTATAACATACACTATCCTGTCTTCCCACCTAGATTCATGTCTGGAACCAGGACAAGTGCGTGGAGCAGCTATTTGAGCACCAGGGAAGGAAATGGTACGATGCAGTTTGGGATGGCCCCGGCAGATGGAATACAACAGAGTCAGTGTGAGACTCCTGGATTTCCTCAGTGTCCCCTGGCTGGTTTCCTGACAGCCTGAAACTTGAAGGGGCACAAACCTGAAAGCAAAAAGAAGACCAGAGAGCCCTCTTGTTATGGATTGTAGATAGGAAAGGATATTATTTGACTCAAAGTGAAGGCTCAGTCCCCTGCACAAGCAGGTTGTTCACCCCTGGGTTCTCCTCTCTCTTACACCAGCGCCCCTCCCTGGGTTCACACCGATGTCCTATGGATGGAGATGGGGCTTCCTGCACCAGGTCACTCCACAGCCCCTGTAACCTGAAGGGGTGCAGAGCAGCACTGTTCATTCACAATACGTTGTGAGCCTCATGGAAATCCCAATGTCTCGTCATCGCATTAGAAATACAAAGAGAAGAGAATGAGTTAAATAATATACTTTATTTGGTTAACATAACAAAAATAGTATCATCTTCATATGTAATTAAGTACAATTATTTGAGACATCTTATATACACTTTGCATGACTACTGTTATTATGTTTTGAAGAATCTGTGGAGATTGTGTGGTTGATAGAGATGTGAATGGGTTTCCTGTTGACAAGCATAGGCTGCTGTGGCTTTTTAAGTGTCAACTTTGATAGGCTGAAGGAGGGGTGGAAAGAATGATTTTTTGCCCAGGGTGTGGAGGGTGGAGGTGAGCAGTGTCCATCCTGCAGCTCACCCTGTGGGTACATCTGTGGTCCCTGCATGGGGTGAAGCTTCTCCTCCTGCCCCGGGTTTCCCTGTGGGGGGATTTGACTCCAATTCTCCCTCAGAACCCAGACCACCTGGTGACTCAGGCTCCCTTTGCATTCCATACAAATGTAAGAAACACTCAGATCTCATTGGGCATCTGGATACTCACAATGCTAATTTAGGAATAAACGGGTGCTTTCCAGTGTACAGTGGCCTCCTGAGGTCCTGCATGGCCCATGTTGGGAATGGCTGGTGATCTTAATTTGGGTTCCCTGGAAACAGACTCTGACATGAAGAATTGTATGCACAGAGGATGTGAAAGGAGGTAAGGGAGGGAACACCGGGCAGGAGACCCCGCCTCTCATTGAGGTCTCAGTCTTTCCCACAGGGTGCTGTGGAGCTAGGAGGAATTTCAGGTCCTCCTATATTGAGGCAGAGGGTTGAGATCTTGGCCTCAGGCAGTCATGAAACCTAACCTCGCTGAGGAAGGGCATAAACCCGGAGGGGGCAGTTTTCTGTGCTGAGCAGCACTTCCCAGTGAAGAAGGCACAGCTCTCAGCTGCCACAAGCTCCCAACAGTGCTGGGGGAGTAAGATCACAGGAAGGAATCCGAGCAGATCCCACAGTGTCCACTCCGCTGGTTTTTCTGTAGAGAATGACGTGAACCTGAGCTCATGTCTGGGGACTGATCCAGGATATTCAGGCCAAGGACTGGCTTGTCATGACCTGTGGAAA